TAATGAAATATTTTCCCAAGCAATTCTTTACAAGGGAATCAATTACATCTTCTATGATAAGTGTTTGTGAAGAAAAATGCATAACTAAGACTCTACTAAATAAAGATTCAAATACAAAAAATGCTCAGAAAAAAGTATCGACAGATGAAGAAGAAATGATTGAAAGGTTCAGAGAAATTTCATCAAACCTAAGTCTTCCTGAGGCACTTGAATTACCCAAAGAAATCCGACAAATGTTGGTACAAGCTTTGGTCAACCCAAAAAAATTCAAAAAGAAGATCTTAACTATTACTGATCAAGTTAGTCAATTCGATTGCATGACAACGATTTCATTCACTGATGAAGATTTGCATCAATGCTCTTCTGAAACCTCAAGAGCAAGGTGAGTACTTTAAACTATTACTAGAGTATAAAAATATTTTTGCATGGTCATACAAAGAAATGTCAGGGCTTGATCCCAAAGTTATAGTTAATCATCTTGCTATTAAACACGGAGTTCGCCCCATTAAGCAGCCACAATGAAGATTCCGTCCAGAACTAGTCCCATAGATCAAAGCTAAAGTCAATAAGTTGATAGACACTGGATTCATTTGAGAAGTCAAATATCCAACATGGATTGCTAATATTGTGCTTGTCAAAAAAAAAAGAATGGACAAATTCAAGTTTGTGTTGATTTTAGAGATTTAAATCAAGCATGTCTGAAAGATGACTTTCCACTGTCGATTACAAAACTCATGGTTGATGTGACCACGGGACATGAGGTCTTATCTTTCATGGATGGTTCCTCTGAATAAAATCAAATTCGGATGGACCCTAAAGACTAAAAACTCACTGCATTTTGAACCCCCAAGGGAGTTTATTGCTATATAGTGATGCCCTTCGGACTCAAGAATGCTGGTGTCACATATCAGTGTGCAATGCAATAGATTTTTTATGTTGCACTACACAAAAAGGTTAAATGTTATGTTGATGACCTACTCGTAAAGACAAGAAGACGTGAAGATCATCTTGATGATTTGTGCAACATTTTGAATGGCTTTGGAGATATCAACTAAAAATGAACCCCTTAAAGTGTACCTTTGGGGTTACCTCTGTCAAGTTTCTCAGATTTATTGTCAGGCATCGAGATTGATCAAACAAAAATAGAGGATATTCTAAAGATGCCAGAGCCTCGCAGTCTGCATGACATCAAAAGTTTTCAAGGAAGGCTTGCCTATATACAAAGATTTATCTCGAACCTTGCCGGACATTGTCATCCGTTCAATACAATAATGAAGAAGAGTGTTCCTTTTGAATGGGACGATGCTTGTCAGAATGCTTTTGAAAATATCAAATAATATCTTATTCATCTCCCGGTCCTCGCAACACCAATTCAAGGAAAACCATTGATTCTTTATATTGCTGCCCAAGAATAGTCATTAGGAGCACTATTAGCACAAGTTAATGACAAGGAAAATGAAAACGCATTATACTATCTGAGTCGGACATTAGTAGATGCAGAACTAACTACTCACCTATTGAAAAAATGTGTCTTGCATTAGTCTTTGCTACAAAGAAGTTGAGGCATTATATGCTGGCTTATATTGTTCATCTCATTTCAAAATCTGATTTGTCAAGTACATTATGTCAAGACCTGTTCTCTCGGGAAGGTTGGCAAAATGGGCACTTCTATTATCTGAATATGACATAGTTTATGTTCCGCAAAAAACAGTCAAAGGACAAGCATTAGTTGATTTTTTTGCAAGTCACCCGATCCCTACAGACTAGGAGCTACCAGAAGAATTGCCAGATGAAGAATTTTTCTTCACTGACTTCATACCGTCTTGGAAGTTATACTTTGATGGTGCTGCTCGAAGGTATGGAGCTGGTGCAGGTGTGATCTTCATTACCCCTGCAAATGAAGTATTGTTTTATACAATTACCTTGATAGAGTCTTGCTCCAATAACGTGGCAGAGTACCAAGCTTTGAAAACCACATTGTTCCCTAATGACCATTTGTAGAATTTGTCATTACTTTTTTTTTTATATATATCTTGGCAGTTTTTTCACATAGTTCAACTCAATTCAATTTAATAAAAAGATTTGATTTGTGTGTGTGCGCTTATACATGTGAGTACGTGTATATATATATATATATTATATTTAATTATCTTATTCTTGATCATGACTTGTTTCCTAATTTTTTTTTTTTTTGGAATAGACCACAACTTGTGTGTGTTTTTATGATTTCTTGATAACTTGTTGGGATAATAATTTTTTTTCTTCAAAAATGTTAGTCTTGAATATTTTCATCCCAAAAAATTATGCTAGGTAACCTTTTGACTTTAGAATTTTATCTTATTGACTTGATTTTAGGTGATTTTTTTTTAACAAACTTGACCTTTTTTTTTAAGAAATAAATAAATCTTGTTTCGTGGGGAATTTATTTTTGGGTTAATTTATTCCAAGAGTATTAATTTTAATTTTAATTGGCTTTTCTCAAGAAATTTATTTTAAATGACAGTTTATAACTTTTGTGTTAATTATAGGTGACTTTGATTACAAGATTTTTATTTTATTTATTATTATTATTATTGACCACCTTAAGTGATTTTTATGTCAACTTAGATGACTTCTGTGACAGTCTTAGGTAACTTCTGTAGCATCCCTAAGTAACTTTTGTAACTACCCAATGTGACTTTTGTAACAATCCTAAGATGGCTTCTATAACAGTTCTTTGGTGACTTCTGTAATAGCCCTTTGGTGACTTCTGTAATAGTTCAAGGTGACTTCTGTAACAGTCTTAGGTGACTTCTGTAACAGCTCTTTAGTGACTTCTATAACAGTCCAAAGTGACTTCTGTAACAGTTTTAGGTGACTTATTAACAGCTCAAGGTGACTTTTGTAACAGTCTTAAGTGACTTCTGTAACAGCACTAGGTGACTTTTGTAACAGCTCAAGGTGACTTCTGTAACAGCGCTAGGTGACTTATCTACTCTTGTATTGCTAGTTTTCTTGTATTGCCACTATTATTATTATTTTATTCCCACTTTTTGTATAGCATCAAGGTTTATTTTATTAATATATATATTTCAAATTATTATTTGCCCTCTTTCTTTTTTTTTCTTATTATTATTTTTCAGATGGCCTCATCTCAAAAAGCCAAATCGGGAAAAATTATCAAAATTTCAAGTCAAAGAAAGAACTTACCTTCTGATGAGTGGATTGCTGAGTCAGAAGATCCAATTCTGAAAGACAAAGTTTTGTGTTTTCCAACTGTTGTGGTAAAGAACTACAGAACCAACGAGCTGTTAACATTATCGCTCAAAGTGCTTGAGCCCATGACTGGTCCCTGCAGCTACTCGGGAATAATCTATGAACCTAAACTTCATATGCCGATAATTAGTGAATATCCTCTATTAGAGAACATGCACAAAAGTGACATGGTTAAGTCAGAATGACTACCCTCACTTTGCACGCCTTCGTATCATTCCAAAGATCATCTTATCCTATAGCCACTTGTTGTTGATCTAATCAACCAGAGGACTGTGAGGTGGGGATATTCATTGAACCCAAAGGGAGATATTCAATATCTGAATGGGTTTTGGGAGTGTTCTCAATGAATTTACCGCAACTTGGTAGATAAGGGTTTTGACGAATTTGTTTATGTTAGGCATGCAACTTCTTTTGATTACTCTTAACCCAACAGTGTATATTGCGCCCTTTGTGAAGTTTGGTGTCCATAGACGAATACATTTGTTACGGGAACAAGAGAAATTGGAATCTCACTTTGGGAAATGCAACATGTCACTGTTCTTTCAATTCTCGATGAATATTTTGAAGAAGTTATCCCAAACTTGACTGAGTTGAGAGACTTTGATACTAGTGTTCTTCCTATGACTTGCCAGCATTTATTTAAGGCCTTTGTCTTAATTAATAAGAAGAAAGGGGATAATCATCCCTGTCATTCAGATTGGCTTGATTTTTAGTTCAAGGACGGTGCACGTGCTTTGGATCCCAAAAAGAGCAAGGCATATAAAGCAGTCATGGCAAATTGCTTTAAAAGGGACGAAGAATTTTTTGCAAAGCGATGATTGGTGAGACTTATTCAGGCAGAAATACAACCTATGAAGACAAAGGTCAATGGTGATGATCCCTTCATTCTTCTAGATCTTGACCTTGATGTCACAACACGTGAGGACTTGGAGATTACAGCTTTTTAGCTTTATGGCTATTTCACTTTGTATTTCCTTCATCAGATGATGTTATTCGTCCAACTATCTTCAAGACTGCCTCCCGAATGGCTGCTGGAGTCACATATAGCTTGGTTCCCCCTATTGTTGCAAGCATTTACAAAGGTCTATCTGAGACACGCAGTACCCGATATGATCAAAAGAACCTCGGAATGACTTCTTATGCTTTTTCAGGTCATTATTTTTATGCTTGGGCAGCGTTGCATTTCCCTCGGGGATTTTATGATAAGGTTGATGAGGAGTTTGATGAGGAGTTTGATCGATGATTAAGAGGTACACTGAATGCCTATCTTTTTTATGAGGAAGAAGCAAAAGGATTTCGAGATCTTCTGCGTGGAAGTATGAGTTCCAGTGATTTTTGCTGGCAACCTGTTCCGTATTCTAGAAACTGAGGGCCTCGTCGAGATGATGGACAAAGATCAGATGAAACCTCTAAATTAATGACAAGTATGCGAGATGGATACGTCATGTATCGTTGTGGGCCCATTTGCATTCTTGAGATGTATACCTCACATTGCTTTGCTAGGTAGCATGGATTTCATCAAAGATTTTTAGGTACTCCCTCACATCCATCAATAATTTCGTTTGATGCCTATTTTTTATATCAGGCGTGGTTGAGTTTAGTTAGGATAAGCAGTGAGGCAAGATTCCATGTCCTTAATAATTGCGCTCACATTGAGAATCGATGTGATCGTAGTTATAACAACTGGTGGAAAGATGATGTACTCTCACACCTAGATGACATCAATTGTAAAACCTTGTTAGCCAATGAATCTGAGAATTTCAAATTCAAAGCTCAAGCTAATGGGTTAGGGAAGGGGAAATCCCTTCCTATAGTGGCTAAAGCTTCTTCACGTCTTTGAAAATGGGACACTTCAAAGGATTGTTTGAATTCCCAAGAAAAACCGATTCCAAAGATGTTAAAGGTCACAACACCTGTTTCAAGATTAGCTAATGTTTGATCTGTTCATCCTTTAGACATCCCAGAGTCTGCTGAAGTGAGTTCGTCAAACAAATCTGATCATGCACTCCTTTCATCTTGCATGTCCAAGGGTATTTTCAAGAAACAAGATATAGGCTCAAATCGTGGAAGTATTCCGAGCACAATTGTACTAGTTGATAATCTTGGTTATACTAAGCAGACAATTCAAGAGAAGTGTCAAACAAGAGCTACAGAAGCTGAGCATAATTTAGCTTATGCCCGGTCAGAAGACGGTGCAAATCATACGACTACAAAGTCTCCCACAAGCAGAGTTGACCCATCGTGTGATGCTCTGAATGACTTATCATCATTTTTAGAATTATCACCGCGATCCCGAAATAAAGGTAATTGCAAAATTTCATTACTATTATCATTATTTTTTATATTTTCAAACCTCTTACCCTTTCTTTTTTTTTTTTTTTAAGCTTTTCCTCCACTTTCAGATCTTGCCACATTAAATTCCATCCCAGGTATTTGTGGAGACCAAAATCTTGACAATGATATCATTGGAGCTTTATTTGATGACAACGATCGAAGCATATCCATTTTTTCTGACAGTGGTGAAATTCTTCCTTTGGTTGATGGAGAAAATGCCAATCCATGTGAAGGGGAAGTTAATTCTAAAACAAATCCTACATGTGCTATACAAGCAAGGCAAGAAATTATTAATAATTATGTTATGAATACTCTTCCTGAGCCTTATGAACCTGGTGAAACGCGATCTCCAAGACTAATGTTGATGTTTTCATCTGTCTCAGGTATATCTTATTAGCTTGATCTAGTTGCCCTTTCGATTAGTATGCAACTAATCGCATATCTTTATTTGTGTCAGGTCCTCCTGTTGAAGCAATGACTTCTGAAAATTGGCAAAGAAAATAATTCTGACCGGAATACCCCCATATTTGAAGGGTGAATTTGATTATGCCATGAAAAATGGATTCTCTGGATTGAAGATCTGGTGGACCTCCAAGTCTTCAAATATTAAAGATACTCTTAAAAAGTTTTTTTATGTTGACACAAATCCTTTGGTGAGAAAAATGAATTGTCTTCTTATGAAAGTAAATGAGTACCTTTTAAAACACCAAGAAAGCGTCAAAGTTTTAATCTCTAGAGAAAGAGATAGAAGGTTGGCGACAATTGATAGCACGATATCAGGAGGACAATTCAAAGTTCTTGGCTTTAGTGAACAACTATTGAAATTTGAAGCAAAGTTAGAGTCTTGATGATGAAATTCGGTGACTGTAAGATTGGAGGGCCGAGATAGCATCTAGCATTGACTTCATTCATGATGAACAACAAAACACTGATGAGACTATAGTGGTGATGGAGAAAGAACGTGTCGAACTCCAGGAGTCTCGTATTCGTAGTGTTGAGGAGATACAAGATATAGACAATATGCAACCCATGTTAGAGACGGAATTTGCTTCGCTAGCCTCAATCGACTAGGTTGAAACTTTTTTATGATTTCATAATTTTTCAATTGTAATTCTTTATATATATATGTTTAGATTTGATTTTTTTTATTGTACTAAAAAAATATTGATTCTCAAATAACTTAGATATCTCAAAAAAATGTTTTAAGTTTAAACATAATTTTGAAAGAAATTTTTTTTTTTTGAGCCGTACATAGTTTTAGCTCATGTGGGCCAGGAGCAAAAAATTTTTGTTTTTAGTTGAGCCGTACACAATTTTAACTCATGCGAGCCAAGAGTAAAAATATTTTTTTGGTTAAGCTAAGTAAATATTTTTTTTAAGTCGTACATAGTTTTAACTCTTGCAGGCCAAGAGTAACATGCAGTTTAGACTTGTGCGTAAAGAAGCGCATGAACTTTTATTTTTGGTCAAACCGTTCACAATTTTAGCTCATGTGGGTTAGGAGCAACATGCAGTTTAGGCTTGTGCGTAAAGGAGCGTTGCTTGTTTTCAGGCATAGAAGTGCTTTAAAAATTTTCCATTGACTGGGCCAACTCTCAAGCCATATTTGTCAACAATCTTATACGGTTCGTTGGTGTAGACTTCTTTCACCACATGTGGACTATCCCATTTTGGCATGAATTTTTCACCGGTGCGATGCGGAATAACAATGAGTCTTCGAATTGCAAGGACCAAATCTCCTATTCGGAATGATCGGACACAAACCCTCATATTAAAGGCTTTGGAAATTCTGGCTTGATAACATTTCAAGTTCTGTTGTGTATCTAGTCTCTTCTCGTCCAGTGCTTCAAGCTCATCTAGACGTAAATGAACATTTTCTTCATTTGTGAGCTCTTCTTGTAAGACGATCCGCAGGGAGGGAATATGACGTTCCAAATGAAGAACAACTTCAACGCTATACACAAGGGAATATGGAGTAACTTCTGTTAGAGTTCGATATATTGTTCGATATGCTCAAAGAGCTTCACCAACCCTTTTATGCCAATCCTTCTTTGATTTGGAGACAACTTTATTTAACAAGTTGCACAAGGTTTTATTGAAGGCTTCTGCAAATCCATTGGCTGGTGCATTATACATGGATGAATTATGTTGTACAAATCTAAATTTGATGCAGAGCTTAGCCATGAGGCTATTGACAAATGGTTTTCTATTATCAATGATAATGTAACGAGGTACACCATACCGATATATAATATTTGTTCGAATAAAGTCGACAACATTCTCTTTTTTCACTTCTTTAAGAGGAACCGCTTCCGCCCACTTGGAGAAATAATCGATTGCTGCTAAGATGTAAAGATGTCCTACTGACAATTTTGGAGTCAAAGGTCCTATGATATCAAGTCCCCATGCATCAAAAGGCCATGATGCGACTGTAGGATGCAATAGTTCAGGTGGCTGGTGAATAAAGTTGGCATGAAACTGATAAGATTAACATTTCTTAGCATAACTCATCGAGTCTTGCACCATAGTGGGTCAATAATACCCCATTCTCTTTATGCGAAAATGTAATTTAGGTCCTGATTGATGAGCACCACAGATTCTAGAATGAGCTTCCTCGAGTGCTTGAGCAGCTTCATCTTCGTCCAAACATCGCAGGAAAATACCATCAAATGAGCGACGATAGAAGATGCCTTTATAATAAATAAATCAAGGAGCTCTCCGTCATATCTTGGTTCTATGACGTGGATCATTTAGTAATCTTCTACACTGCAAATAATTAATCAGAGGTTGCCTCCAATCTTCATTTTCAACTTGCACTACTAAAATGGTAGTAACTTCCTCCATTTCGGGGAGTAACAGAGATATTACCCATCTTTGACAAACTGGAATTGAAATTATTTGGTAATAGGGTTTTGTAAGCACGACGGTAAGATTGGCAAGAGCATCAGCATATCTGTTTTCACCGCATGGTACGTTTTCAATGGTGACTCAATCAAACTGACTTATAAGTTAAGTTGCATAGCGACTGTATGGAATCAAATCTGGTTTGCGAACATCATACAATTCTAAAACCTGATGAACCACTAGCTGTGAGTCTCCATAGATTTCCAACTGAGAGAGCTGTATATCAAGTGTCATTTCTAAGTCAATGATACAAAGCAACAATTATAATCAAATAAATAAAAAAAAGAAGGGTATAAACGATCTAAAAAAAAAATCTACCATGAAAAAATACCACAAGTTCTAAAAATACTACACAGTAAACAATAAAAAGATGAATATTTTGCACCAAACAAAATAGGAATGACCTGCTAATCATCAAAATTTTGGTAGAACTATATAACTTAATCAATTGGGTCAATCAACTAAGAAAGAGAAACTTTAATTTTCATTAAGAACAATACATTATTAATAGTAATGCTAAAACAAACTAACAAAGGCAGACATACCTAATAGATTTGACTCAAGTCTTAATCAAGTTGACTGCGTAAGGTTGGTTATAAATTAAAATATCAGTATGATCAAATAAATATAGATTTTATAGGTTATAATTGTGTTTAAAAATATTTTTCACCAACTAAACATTAAAAGTTTATTTAGATTACAAGATATATCTTTATTTTAGGTTTATGTGTTTAAATAGAACAAAAGAATTATTATATATCTTGACCCCATAAAAATTAGAATTCTATGTTGTTCATGGTTAAGAATAATAATATGCTATATATATATAATTAAAAAAAAGGATCCAAATTAAATAAAGTTCATTCATAAATTTTTGAATATACATGAATTTTTGAATACAATAACAAAAAGATACTCTAGTTTTATATTCATATCAATATGACCCACTAAAAATTGTTGTTTTGATTCTAACCAAATTAAATTGATAAAGACTAGCACTTCGATTCTTATTAGTAAGACTTAAGAACCAAATAATATACAATGATATGTATTACTAAGATAATTGGGCATTAAACCAAAAATAATAGGATCATTATGATATAAAAAATCTCGTGTATACCTCATGCAAAAAACTGACAAATTACATACACTTAAACTTATTGTTAAGAATAAGACAAAAGATATTAAAAGAAAGAATGAAAACTGTGATGATCGATACTAACCATGAAGGCAATAAAAAAATCGATTAACATGTTTTTTTTTAAATCAAGAAGAACATTTAAACTAATAATGATAATACTAAAATATTAGTAAGTTTGAAATCAACAAAGTTACATATCTAAGAAATCATTATGCTGACAAAATTAAACACCATAACAATCAAAAGCAATACATATATAATTAAATAACGAAAGAGTCGTACCTTACAAACTTGATTCAAGGTCCAAATTTGTTGACTAGCCAGTTGATTATAAAATTTCGAGTACATATAACCTCATATATATAGACATTCTAGTTCTATGTATTTAAGTTAAAATAAGAAATTTGTTATCCTAATCATAAATGGATTAAAAGTCTATATTTTAGGACTCTGTATTTGAATAAAAGAGATTTTTACATTAATCATAGATAAGTTGAAAGTCTTTATGACCAATATGTTCAAATAAAATAGGATTGTGAAGTCCATATGGTTTAGGATTCTACATATTGTTTAAAGTTCAATATGGACTATAATTCCAATCAATATATATATATATATATATATATATATATACATGCAAAATTAAATTAAATCAAACTCCTTTTAAATCAAAATATAAATCAAGACCCATTTACATATTAATAAAATATTAAATATGCAAATAAGTCTCAAGGGGGCATTTGTAGACATTAAAAAAATTAGTAAATAAAAGTCTATAATTGAACTCAAAGCAATTATATAAATAAAATTGGATTGGACCTAAATTCCATAACCTAAATAATAAAAGCCCAAATTTAATTAATAAGACTTGTCAAATTAAATTAAACTGGACCTAAATTTCATAGACAAAATAATACAAGCCTAAATTTAATTAATAAGGCTTGTCAAATTAAATTAAACTGGACCTAAATTCCATAACCTAAATAATGCAAGCCCAAATGCAATTAATCAGGCTTGTTAAATTCAAATGGACTTAAATTCCATAGGCTCAAATTAAATAAAATTTCAAAAGGTAAAATGTGTTGGACTTAAATTCCATAAATTAATTAAAGTCTACAAATTTATATGTAGCCCACTACCTAAAGCCCATATAAAAGTAATAAGGACTCTTATATGGATAACTACTATGAGACTCAATCATGCATTTCATACATATTAGCATAATTATGTGAAATTAATTATTAATTAGATAAAAATTTTGTATGAAAATAATATTGAGTTGGTTTTGAAATCACTTAAGAATTTAGGGGGGAGGTAAGTGAAATTAGTAAATTTCATGAAATATCTATACA